AGTTTCTAGAAAGCTACAAAAATTCTACCACTTTATCAAGAAGGCATCAAAATGTGTCACTTTGCAAAGACATGAAAACACCTGCAGTAACCGACACAAAAATAGCATTTTTAGAGTGATGAAATAATTGCACTTAACTGTCATGGATATTAAAGTTATCACACATATGTACCGCGAAAGCTAGAATACATTTTTTTTTTTTACAAAGCAATTTATAAAAAAATTCTCTGCACACAAAACCTATAATTTTCATATTACTATCATACTAAAGATAAATTCACTTTAAAGCCAACACTTAAAACATTTTAAACAAAAAAAAGGTACCAGTACCTACACACAGACAATAACAAATACAAGAATACTGTACTGCCAAGAGGTTTGACTGAAACTCCTTTTGAAAGCTTCTGCAAATATGTTAAGAAAACATTGGAGAACATTCACTTTTTTCAAAGAGCCTTCCCTCCCTGTCTAACCTAGAGGTACTTTATCATCAAAAGGCAAGTTCTACATCAAAAGTTACCAGCAGCAGTACAATATTAAAGTAACCACTGACCATATATGAATATGCTTAAGTCACAAACCCATTTTATACACATTACACAAATAAACATAAAGTGAGAATTCCATTAAGTCATTTACAAATGTGAACAAATGCACATGGCAAAAAAACCCCAAAACAAAACAAAAACCCAACCTGTTTTACATAAAATGTACTGAAGAATTAAAGGCTATTCAGGTTTTCAATGTTATAAAATTCTTTTGTCTTTTTTTTTTCAGGCACATATTGTATTTTTTGTCTGCAGTCATGAGCCTGAATCAGAGGCCCACAAAACAAAAAAAACAAAAACAAAAACACATATTCTGTAAGGAGGTAACAGGGATCCATCTCCTTTTAGTCAACTGAGTGCATTTAAGATTTAATTTATACACTAAAAGTAATTACATGATTTCAGCAAGAACGACCTGAAAAGTTAAAAGATAAAGATGTCCAAAGTGTTTCTTGTACTTTGACTTACCAAGCCTCAATCTTTTTTAGGGGCCTAAACATCTCGCTATGAAAAATAAGAGGGGGAAAAGAGATGATCCTGAGAAAAGTACAAAACCGAACCTGTTATTCACATCTGCGGTGCGACCGGGTACGTGTATCAGTATGGGTCAAGTAAAGCATAGACAAAAGGTTTCTCAGTACGGGTGAGTAAGTCAGCCGGGAAAACTAAAGGGCAACTGCTTCAGAAAGCAAGTATGCCCCAGGACTTGCATTGGAAAAATAAATAGATGTGGATTAGTACATCGAATGTTGTATCTGCCTTGAACTGGCCAGTTACTTACATTCAACATTAATGTACACCCTTCATTATTTCAGATAGCCTATACCGTGGCGGTTTTAACAGAGGAAGCTACTGCCAAACTTACTGAGCTGTAGCGGCAGTAGAAAGGGAAAGTGAGAAACAGGCATTATATCTGCAATTCCTTCAAAATAGTGGTGCAGTACCTAAATAACATAATTTTGGAATTCAAGTAAGTAAAACTACATTTGTTTGTAGTAATTTTTAACAGCCCCGAATGGTACCATTATGCTTATTTTAATACTTTAATGAGACAGAAGTGTAGTTCATCATAAATATTGACTAGTACGGTTCAAAAGTTTGTTAGCAACTGAAAATATATGCTCTACTTGTGGGGCAAAAGTGTCTTTGCCCTCCCTCAGTCTCATTGAGTTCAACAGGATTACTAGAGGTAAGTGAGATTTAGACCTTGAAGGAATAACTAAAATAATACTTTAGAGACAGGGATCTTGAATTATCACAATATTTACCACACAGTGTCACAATATTTCTCTATATAAAAAGTTAATCTTGGTTTTCATCAAATACTTTAAAAATCAAGTTAAAATTGTATTCACAACTACATAATCCCTCTGACAGCTTTTGGTTTTGCTGATATTTGTTCTTTCTAACATTGTTTTCTTAAAATCTTGCCCCTCTTCCCATCAATTTTAGTTGTAGTGTACAGTATGGCCCCCGTTCACAGAAGGTATCAAATACAGACACATTTTTAAGAGGAGCTAATTTTTTTTTTCCAAGACATCATCCGGGAGAAAACCAAAACAAAACAACCCTGTGTTTTGAATCGTGCTGGCCAGAGTTTCTCTAACAGCACCTTCATCCCCAATGCTCGCACTCAACATTTCCATGCTTAAAACCACACAATTGCTATTCTCTGTTCTCCACTTTCCTCTTGTTTTGTGCATCTGACTTTCAGCATGCACAGCTTTGTAAACAAAATCTTCTGTCTAAACAAAAAAATCTGAAAAAGATTCTGAAATATAATTAGAGGAGAACAATAAAGTCACATTTGTCTACTGTCTGAAATCTGCAGTATATGGATCTCATTATGCAGATGTACAACTGGATGAAGAGAGTATAAATGTGAACCATTTATGTCACAGACAAGTCAGTTGCTGGTTTGCAATGCTGTCAGAAATGGCAAACAGTAGATTATGCTTCAGCAGGTTGATCATTAGCAAAATTACTTTGCTATAAACGGTGCTCTTTTGTGAATGGAGGCCTGTAGATTCAACTTATTCCAATAAACCAAAGGCATTACGGTGATAACTAAATATTTTTGGTCTCTCTACAAATTGTCATTATTATGGCAGCACTTTTCTAAGCTGGAATTTCAAACCAAAGGCACTTTCATGCTAGAGTGCAGAAGAGTCACAATTAATTATTTGGTCATGAAATTTAAAAAGGCAGCATTTATTAATACAATTCACTTTTCACGGAGAACTAAGAATCTGTAACCTTTCCTTTTGGTATAGACATTTAACTGTGTAGCAATGGGACCGACTTGTACAGAAGGCTGGTTTAGACCAAGCAGTCAAAGAGCGTTTCTGTGGGAAAAAATACAGATATTTTAAAAAATGGAACCAATTATTAACACAACATATAGAATTTATGTTAAGAGGCTAACGGTACTTCGAATATAATGCTAAGGCACTGCATATTGTAATGCTTTGGCAGCTCTCAATTAAAAGGTTCCTACAAAAAGTAACAGTAACAAGAGAAGTACTTCCAGCTTACAAAAGAGCTCACAGTTTACAGGCAGCCTGTTGGACTACACACCCCACACTGAACAGTTGAAGGATTAAGGCTTTTAAGAATTAACATATACAGGGTATGGATCATTTACAGAAGTGTAAAGAAAAGACGATGGAAGTAGTTTCCCTAATATTACATGTGTGAACACCAATAAACATTGTGACTTTTTATACCCTATAGTTATGGCATATGTAGTGTGCCAGATTCTATTAAAAAAAATGTACCTGGTTTTGCAAACTGACTTACATACTTTATATGCCTCAAAGAGTTGCTTGTTATTAAAAAAAAAAATAAAATCACCAAAACCACAATTCAAACCCTAAATAAAAGACAACTTTAGTACAAAATAAAACAAAAAAAGTAGTTTTTGACTTGTAACACCAAGTGCTTAGAATAAAGGGCTACCGTTAGGCTGTTACAATGCAGTGCTTTTCCTGATGTGATTGTTAGTGTTAAAAATGAGTGTTAAAAGAGACCTTATCATGGACATATTTCTCTGTTCAGTTCACGGAGTATAAACCGAAAGATCATCAGCCCTAATATCCATAAGCAGGTAACAGCTAGACACCACAGCACTCATCCTCCTACTAGAGTTAGAGCAGAGGCAGGCTAAGGAATCTAAGCAGTCTCCCTTCCCCTCCGTGACGGATGCATTGTCCTCTAGCCCGAGTCCTCACCAGTGTTAAGGATGAACCTGGTCTGACGCAGATGTACAGTAACCTGCAACCTCATCTAGGCTATATTCTAGTCTAGATAATTCAACAGTGGGCAACTCTAACAAAGGGTACCATGCAGAAATATAATATCAAAAAATTAAGACTGGCTTTTTTGATGAACACAGCACTGGGAGTAAATTCTAGACTTAAACTGTGCATGGGCACACATCGGTAAAAGGCAGGGAGGAGGGACCTGCTAAATGTTAACTTCTTTGATTCAGGACCTTCCCAAGGGCGCTCTTTGCCAATACCTCGTGACTGAGCTTTAGGGTGGCTTGTGTTTGGCTGGGCAGCCCTCAGCCTTTCAGACAAATATTTCACGTGAGAACCCGCTGCTGGCCCAGCACCTGCTGAGACAACTGCTGCTTGGGCAACTGCGGGGCAGCGCCGGGTGTGCAGCGTTAGAAAAGACACGGAGCAACGCTCTCTGGTGTAGCCAGGAGGAATGAGACTGCTGCTGTCACATGTGCGTACCTCAGACACTCACTCACACCCCACATCCATGGTTTGAATCCTTACAGCATTAAAACATCTCCAGCTGTACTTCACTTCCTGGAGTCTTCCCTGAATAGATCAGAAGGATGAATGCTACCACATCTGGATGCAAAAGGACATCCGACCCCACGTGGTACGTACGCGTTTGTTTCAGGTAAAGTCTTTGCCAGTCGAAACTGGAGAAACAACTGGGAAAGGTGTAAGAGCACCATGATAAAGAGGAAAAAAGAAAAAAAGGAGAAAAAAAATTCTCCGCTTTCCAATCTTCTTTGCCTGACGTTGGTTGTGATTTTCTAGTGCCTCATAGATATTAAAGCTGTTGATCCTTTCAGAGGTGTACGTGTTCTTCTTTCAAACACATTAGTGTTTTGCTTTCAGTTTAAGAATTACTCAGTGCTGTCGCAATGTCAGTTGTTTCCGTTCATCTGTTAATTTCAGAGTTGGAAAATTTTCGTTCAACTTATTAAAAAACATAGTTGTCCATATAAAATATAACTGCACGCACAAGACTACATATAATGCGAGTCTAAATCTTCAGTATTTACCTACTTATTGCAAAATGAGCCATCTTTTTCATTAAATAATCAAATTTTCATATTAGTAGAATACAACTTTATACTCTTTTAAAATACACTAGATATGTTAGGGATAAGGGATGATGTTTTCTTTCTCTGCAATACCTTTTTGAAAGTTTAGTGGATTAGAAGATTAGTTTTAGCGTTGAGAAAAAAATACAAAATTTGCCTAATTTTAGGACCTGTCTGTTTCTATCAGGCATTTCTTAAGGCTATATTTTTCATTTGGTTTCAAACAGAAAAATGTTTCATTTTAAAAAATAATTTAGTGAATTACATTCGTCCATATCTTCCACCCTAATTAGTTACAAAGATAATTCTATAAAGATTATTAACTTTGTGTACTCATTTACAGTTATAGCTAAAGATTCATTTCAATTTCACTTGCATCGTAAAACAAGTATTTCATGTTGGAAAAAAACCCAAAATAAAATCTTATAAAGGCTGTCAGTTTTTCCCCATGGCAAATGCTCTGTCATACATTTTTCTATCAGAATTAAAAATAGGCCTCCCCAGACAGAGGCATTAGTTCTTAAATACAGTCTTCCCAAAGAGCTGTGGTTTACAAATTTGAAGAACACTTAGTTTTAGAAATAATTTTTACAACTGTACCAGAATTTCACAGCTACAATTATATGTGAACACATTAAAAATGACTTCACTAAAACAGGATTTAGAAAAATGTGGGCGAAAGTTGGGCCAGAGGCACTGCCACGTAGTGTTGAGGTTTACAGTCTGTGTTTTGATAAAGAAGTGAAATGAAGTGTATATATAAATAACTGCTCAGTCCTTTACAAGCCTGTAGATATGATGCTGTGCTCCGTGTTCGCTGTTCGACACTTCAAATACACAAGCCATGCAGAGCAGGGTTTCTTGTGTATCCCTGTTTGTTACAACCTGCGCGAGGGGAGGAAGAGGTAGACAGCACATTACAAACTTGGAAACGCCAGGGCCAAAGCAAGAAACGACTGGCTTAGCTGAGACGCTCTTTAGATGTGACTGTTTGAAACGTGTGTCCTCTTGCTCTCCCTTTGGCCATCAAGACTGACCTTGCGGCCGCGCGCCCGCACCGTGCTCCGGGGCTGCGCGGCGGGGCTGCAGCTCCCCCTGTGGTGGCAGTGGCAGCACGTGTCTCGAAGTGCTTGGCTGAGGTGCCACCACAAAGCCACAGTGAGAGCAGGCTGGGTAACTGGATGAAAGTGGCTTCAAGGCCGCTATGTGGGCCATTCCTCAGGCTTTAGGTCACCTCTTGGGTGTACACATTACTGTACGCTTTCTTGGCCCAAGAACTCATTAACACCACTGACATTTGCAGTATTATAACTGGCATCTCAGCAAGAACACACGAGATGAATGGGACGGTTCAAAGTTACTGCCTCAGGTGCGCTACACAAACCAAAGAGGCTTGCATGAAAAAAAGAGAGAAGTAAGCTGAATTTCTGGAAAGTAACAAAGCTGTTTGTTCACGGTCTCAGCCAGCTTACCCTTTTCATCCTTAGCTTATAGTGCACAATTCCAAGAGTATTAATCTGAAGCCAATGGGATGATTTGTCTAGTAAGCAACGTGACTAAGGGATTCGGAAACTGGTTCTAAATATTACAAGTTAAGCAACCCATACAAAGCCTGAGACTATTTTAGAAATGGAGAAATAAAAAGGGATTCCATACCAATAAAATTGTAAAATTTTCCAACACACTGTTCATCATGTATTTCTCTGGTAAATGCTTCAACTTGTGAATGAAGTTGATCATATATTCACACATTGGAGAGCGATTTATTCTGTACACGAATCGGCCATTCTCAAACCTTGCATATTCAGTCTAAAAAAAAAAACAAAAAAAGATCATTTGGAATAAGATAATTCAGACATAGCAAAAAGTGAATACTATATTTTTTTCTTTCTTTGTATAGACAGAAAAAAAGAGAAAGTGGCTCTCAGACAGCCTCCCCCAACTCCCTGCCCTAGCTGTGCAGCACCTTGTTAAAAATTCAAAGGCCCTTAATTATTAAAAGTTATAATATCACTACTTGTTCTCTAATTTGTGGATTAAAAAGCTGAACAGGTAAGGATTACACAAAGGCAAATCCAAGTCAAGTAAAAATGAATTAAGCAGAAAACACTTCGGGAAGATGATTTTACAGTAGTTTCAAGGCAACTGTCTGCAAAGGGAACCGCAAAAAATAAGCTTATATATTGATACATAAATACACACATCTGAACATAGCTATATAATTGCATGATTTAATAGGCAATTTGCGAGTTACAGAAAGATGCGAGACTACAGTTGGAAGAAAACCAGACTGATTTAGATCGCAGGGGCTCACAAGGGGCTGAAGGAGGGTAAGGCTGCGACTCTTGGTCTCCTGCTGCCCAGCTACCAGTTGCTCAAATCAGGTACCCAGGGGCTTGTGGGGTTTTTTGGCCTTCTCTAAGCTTGGAACAATGGAAACGATGGAAAAAGTTTGTACGGTCACCATGCACAGAAACCACATCTAGTATAAGAAGGACATGAACAGAGACCAAGACAAACTAGAAAGGCTCAACCTGCGGCTCTAGGCTTAAATTCCTGTACAAAAACCATACTGCAGATAACAGGCATAGGTGTGGGGCTTAGGACACAGAAGACAAGTTAAACAGCTGCAGTACCAGCGTACAATAAACCAACTAGCTACCTCACCACACCATACAGTTCTGTGCTTAGAAAAGGTAAAAAATAAATAAAGGCCCTTGTATGTTAAGAAAATATGCAACTTTGTATTCCAAAGCTGTTGGTGATAAGGAAAAGCATGCCTTTCTGTGCATAAAATAAAATAAGCATGAGTGTAGACAAAACATAGCACATCATCCATAGCTTTAAAATGTTTTAAAAATCTAGATGACAGAGAGTAGCTCGTCACTGTAGTATGGTTCCAAACAGGCTACGTGGCTGGCCAAGTGTTTGGAAACAGCAGCAAAGGCATTCTTGCATCAGCTTTTTTTCTGCCAGGTGATGGAGGAGGCGGCAGTGACGTCAGCTGCAGGTTCCCCACCGAAGGGTGCCACAGGCAGGGTGGAGGAGGGTCTCCAAAGCAACTGGTAGGGAGGATTTCACTTCATTGTAGTGTCACCGTTCATGTGGTGATTTAAAATGAACCCAAACACTGCCGGGAAGGAAAATACTCTTTGCGGAAGGATTAGAGAAAGGAAGGAAAAGACAGATAAGAGCAAAGTAAAGACAAGAGAGAGAAAAGTCTGACTAAAATGAAAGGGAACCAGAGAATCATTCCACACATCCGATCACGACACCCACCTCTACTTTTTCTACTACTTGCTTTCCGAATGAGCAGACTTTGGTGGAACAGGTGATTGTCATGTTTTCTGAGCTCTCGTACTGACTAGTGACGCCGTAAAACGCTCCTGTATCATCTTGAATGTTGCAGTTTAAATCAGCCTGTTGGGAAAAGGTAATAGATGTCGAAGATTTTATTTTTCATTTGACAATGTCAGTAGCATAAGCTGTAATTAGCTCACCTTTCCAGTGACAGTGGAAAAAAGTCTGTCAGGAAAGTACCTGCCTAATTGTTGTGGTAAAAACCTTAGGGAAGCGTCGGTCTCTTCAAACTTTAAACAACAAAAGACAATCCAGTATTCCTCCAGGCTAAGGGTGACGTTCTTGTCTGGCAGGTAGCTGATGAGGTCCCTGGAGCAAAGGGAATGATCACCTGCAAGGAGCCTGGCTCCAGAGCAGACTCCTCTGGAGGCAACCTGCCCTGCAGCCCCCAGTGCAACCGAGCCATCCCGCTCCTGAGGGGCCATAGTTCGCTTTCTCCTTTTCCTTTCTTAAAGCAATGAAAGCCTCACGGCAAAGGGAGACAGCTGCACATCACGGGCATCAATCTCTGGTAAGACTCGGTCAAGCCATATGGCCCTGATTCAGCAAAATACTTGACTGCACAGAGCTGTATGACGCAACTCGCAGGCTTCACGTGAGCTGTGTGCGCACTGAGCCGTGCCTACCGCACCACTAAAGTATTACTGAAAGCGTCTGATTTCTTTCCGTATTTCTCTGCAGCCTGAATGACTGCCCAGCTGCCTTTGATATCTAGCATCAGAGATCGAGACTTGCAGGATCATGTAGGGAACAGTGCCACCTTTAATTATTTATATCCGAATCCAAGCCCTGTGCACAGCATGATTAATTTGGCTACAAAGCAACAGCACAGGTCACATGCTGAACGCGGCCTCCCCAGCAGCACTGAAGCTGTTCTGCCACTGTGCTCTTTGTCATCATGAATCCATTTTCAAAAGCCCTCAACTTAAAAGAGCACTAATATGGACACGGACAGAGTCTGGGGACCTCCACAGCTGGATTTGTTGATTCAGGCCTTAGCTCTGCTGACATCTTTGGTGCTCAAGGAGAGAGTGGGCAGGGTTTTCTTTTTATGTGGAAATAGCTGATCGGGTACTGCAGCATAACATCTAAGAATCACCTGAATTTTTAGCTTACTCTGAGACGAGCATTTTAGCAGGGAAATGCACTTTGGCAGCTGTTTCACTTGCAAGTCTAGCTCTGCTTGTTTTTATTGCTAATATAGAAATGTAACACAAACATTTTGACAGGTACTTTTGTGTCTACCTTGAGACTTTCTAAAAACCCAGTTTACTGGTATGTTCATTTACTAGTTAGCATGGAACATTTATAATCCTGCCTTCACTATAGTTCAGGTCTTTGGAACTGCTATTTAATTTTTAACTAGGCAAAAACTCATTAATTCTACTTAGTGTCCACAGTCCTTACTTGTGGTACAACATTCTGAGGCAATATGCTGATAATAGCACATCCTGAGCTAGTTTGTGGTACGGAGAAGACATAGGTCTAAGATTACTTCAAGCTGCCTTTGGTAAATTAATCAGTGGAGAAGTCTCCTGAGGTTTACACACAGTAACACAAACAGTCCTATGGTCACGTATTTTGCATAACAGAAAGAAATCCTATCGCTATTGCACCTTGTTTCTTGCTCATGTTTTGCATGAGGTCAGCAGTTAATGTTTAATGTACATCTAAAGCAGCGTGTTCACAGTGAGCTGTCAGAAATTGTTCCAAGCTAACAGCAAATAAGCAATTTGCCATCACAGCTGGCTTGCAGTCGAAACACAACAAACAGCTAAACACGACAGACTGTAGCAGCTATCAGCCACGCCACAGCTGCTCCGCTGGAATTTCTGAAGAATAGGGATTTCTGATAAGACAATTGCGTCGTTGTAAATAATAATAACGGCAACAACAACAATAACTGTATCTCTTAGAAAGTGGCCACTCCTGCTGCTACCACAATTACAATTTTACTATCAAAACATTTTCTTTTTTTTTTCCTTTCCTGTATGGACAAAACATTTAAGAAATCGTAACTAAATTGCTCCTCACAGTTTGATGTTATCAAAAGGGTCAGCCACACAGACCTTACATGTCAAGCTGCAATAATAACTGCTTATAGAGTTACAAAATAAGGATAACTTTTTATCTGCTGCCTTCTCATTTTGAAGCGCACTGAAAGAAAAATCTAATTGTTGTATTTACACGCTGACATTTAACCTGGAAAAGTATCACATGTGGCCATCTGGCACCCTGTTGATCACTCCCACAGCTCTTCCAACTCTTGCTGAAATCGCTAGGAGTCCTGCGTACACAAAAAATACAGGCTGGGGCCCTGATGTTTGCATGAAGAAGGCTTGAAATTATCACTCAAATGTCATGATTTACACTTACGCAATCACAACATTGTTGCAAAAGTCCCATGATGGTAATATAAACGTGAATTATCTTTATTTGCAATTCGATTTTTTTTGAGTCTAGCACACAAAGGTGTTTTCAAGGAAAGACAGACTTTTCCTTTTTAAACAACAGTTTTCATGTACAACTAATTACAAACTGCTGAGACCTGAAGCTTTAAGACTCCAAAAAGTGTGATACCAACATAAAAATTTTAGAAGTTGCAAACAGCAAATACTCTTAAATGAAGCCTTCACCAAAGCCTCTTTTAATACTGAAAGGCTCACATACTATAACAACATCGATGTCAGTTCTCACCTACTATAACAAACCTTGCCCCTCAGTCTGGCTTCACATTTTTTCACTAGAGGCCGAGTACGTGGACACTAGGAAGGAGCGTGTATCATTGCGAAGAGGGGATTGTCACGCCAAGGAAATATTCTGAACCAGGCATTGAAAGCTTTGTTCTGTGGTGAACACCATCAGAAAAGAAGGAAAGACTATCAATCACTTTTGGTAAAATACAAAACTTTGGTTAAAAAATGATGGTGAAAGACTTGCTAATTATATTGTTATGGCTTACATACTAAGGGGTTCATCTAAACACATATCCCTGAAAGCAAAATGGTATTTCTTCAACTGACAAAAGCAGGTCACAACTAAAATTCAGGGGATTGTGCCCTGCCCCAGTTATGAGACCACCAAAAAACCAAAAGATTCTGCTAAAAATGGGCATTGCTGTGGCTGTGAGAGTTGTAGATGTAGCTTTGAGCAGGAATAAGGTGATGTGTTGCCCTGGTATTCAGTTTTAGCAGGCTACTTACTACAGTATTGATTCCAGTTTTTGTGTCTACATTTTAGAAAGGATGTTGGAAAATTGGAAAGTGTTCAGAAAAGAGTTACAAGAATGATTTCAGGTCTGGAAAACATCCTTTGTAGTGAATGACTAACGAAACTCCATCTACTTACTTTTTCCAAGGGAAGTTTTTCCACGACTTTGTCATAGCCTACAAGTTGCTACATGGGGAAGAGTCTTCTGATTGATTAAATCTTGCAGAAAAGGACATTAAAAGGCAGAAAGCTAAAGCTATGCAAAAGTTAAATGAGAAACAAGGCTAACCCTCATGGCAATGAGATGCTGGCATTGTTTTCAAATGTGGTGGAATCACCACTACTTGGGGTCTATTTTAACTAAGCTAAATATCTAACAGGGATGCTCTAGTTCAAGCAGCCTTATTGTCCAGAAGCGGACATTACTTAGTGAGGTTTACTGCCTATATTACAGAAGAGGCAAGGCTAGATAAATATAATAATGGCAAAATTGAAATATAGAGATCTGTCTTATTAACCTCAATTAACCCTCTCCTTATAAATTCCTTTTTCAGCGATCCCTGAGAAAAATGTGACAACATTCAAGCTTCTGGAGCACTGTGCTCGCAGCCTCTCATGCTGCAACCGGCTTTGTCTCATTTTTCCCCTGGCACTCTGTCTCTAGCTGTTCTCTGGCATCTCAGGCTCAGATTGCAAGGCTTCCTGGGCTGTACACCAGCCTTCCCTTCTGCACAGCTTCTCACGCAACTGTGCTCTGACCAATGGCTCCAGGAATTAAGGTTGGTGAGCACTATTGTAACATATACAGATAAATAACCTTTTGGAATGGTTATTTCAAATATATTGGCACGATTTCAAATACTGTGGCATTGCAAATATTATGGCATGATCACATAAGATGAACAGGGGTCTAGTTACTCACTGAATTTTAAAATACAAGATCAATACAATTTAGGGAAAAAACCCCAACAATTTAAAAATGCAAATGGAATATTTTTTTTATTTCAAGAGTAAAACTCTAATTTTGATTTATTTCTTAAAAGCTGAGTTTTATATTAGCTGAATGCATTTGGAGGCAGGAGAGGCACTCAGCTTTCTGGCACCCTGTCTGCAGTGGTTGTGTAAGAGCATGATTAATTCATTAATAAAGCATAGCTTGTCAATGGGTAGCACTGAAAATATTACATATTAAGAGCATCAAGTGTGTGACATGCTGCATGGAGAAGCCTCTGCCAGTGTGCCAGAGCAAGCACCAAAGCAGAGCTGTCTGCAAACAAAACAAAGAGTAAAAATAAATTAAAAAAAATCCTCACATTCACTTCAGAAGAGCTCTCAGGCTCTGTGTTAAAGGCGAGGGGCAGAGGGTAGAGCGCTTGTGTAATAACAGCTTTGGCTAACAAAAAAGCAACTCCAGCAAAAATTGCTGAGAAGAGTCTAAACCCTT